GTTTAGGTTTATCAAACATGCTGAACGAGTATGATAACAATAAATTTTTAGCCACCCTTGTTGGGGAAACACATATAGACGCTTCAGTTCCATCTAGAAGAAGTTTCTCGATACCAAAAACAAGGGGAAAAAATGCAAGCGCACTATTTGAACTGGAGAACTCAAAATGAGTTCATTATGGCCTGTGGTGAAACTTTTTTTGCTGCTATTATCGAAGAGACTCACACAGCCATTTATTTTTCCATTATTGTTGATGGAACTCCGGACGTGTCTCATACGGAACAAGTTACTTTCGTTCTTTGATTTGTCCGCCTGACAATATTGATGACAATCAATAGATAGTAAAACTTTCTTAAGGTAAAAAATCTGGAGAAAAAAAGGGTTCTGACATTGCGAAGCTGATTATAGACGATATGAATCAAAACCGAATTGATTTAAAAAACTGCAGGGGCCTGGGCTATGAAAACGGGCTAATATGTCCAGTGTATACAAAGGAGTGTACGCCATCATTTTCGAGAGAATTCTTCAAGCCTTGTTTCATGCCTTGCAGTGCACAAAGTCTCAATCTAGCTGGCGTTCATTCTGTAGAACCCTCTACTGTAGTCAAGAAATATTTTGGCAACATCCAATTGTTGTATAACCTTTTTAGTCTCTTAGTTGTTTTTATTTTTTTGTATTTTAAAAAAATATATATATTACAATTTGTTAATTTTGTTGTTGTGGTTTGTTTATTTTGGCGATTTTTTTTTTGATACACTTGTTTTCATTTCAATATTTTAGTTTTTAATTTTTTTAATTATTATTATTTTATAATAAATTTATATTGAGATAATTTGATTTATTTCAATAAAAGAAAAAAATTGTAGAAAAAATCTCTTTTAAATTTTAAAATATTTAATTTCAAACTTAAATTCTTACCAAAGTAAAGCAATAAATTGTTATTAATGGCTAATACTGTATTTCTATATACCCTAGATAACCAAAGTCGGATGATGTCGTCGTTTTAGTTTATATTCTTAACTCGAGCAAAACGTTGTATACCAACTACAATTAGAACAAAATTACATCTAAACCAAACTTTTCTATCTTTTTTATTTTAGGTGCCCCAAAAAGTCTTTACGATTTTATCACAGAGCACTGCGAAAGAACATTTGAATAGAAGTTCACGGATCCATCTTTACCGATGTTGTAAAACTTGTCCAGAGGTGGCATTGAATCATCAGACTAATAGTAATTTTGTCACAAAACTTGTTTAGTAACGTGTTACTACTATAGTATGAATTTGTGTAAGAATAACAGTAAAAAAAAATTAAACATATACAGTTGTATTTTACATACGATAACAATCCGGTGTCATTAGTGGACGAGAATAATGCAAAACTGAGATGTTTGGGTTCAGCAATAATTTTAGAAGACCTGGCTAGCAAACCTGGTATTAAATATAGTAGCTTAATTTGTTTTTGCGAAGATCAGTAAGTGAGTGTTAAAAGAGCATTTGATTCTTTTTTTGTGTGTTGGTCTTTAAATGAGCGTCTAGAAAATTCTTTTGAGTGGCAAGAATTTCTTCATAACATCGCTCTATTTTTTTTTTTTTTTTTTTACTAAAACTATAACATAAATGAGAGAAAGACGTGAATGCTATAACAAGTTTTCTTTTTGTTGATACTTATTATAATAAAAAATATAATAAAAAATTGATAAATAGATAGCACAAAGTTCTATTAGTTTTTGTTGTACGTTATTATTAAAAATATAATAAAAAGAGAAAAATACAACATGAAAAGAATTTACTTAATATAAACAATAATAAACATAAACAAGAATTGATTCACTTGCAGTTTTACCTGACATTTGCGAAGAAAATCCTCATGTAAAACATTTAGCAATTTGTAAACTTTTTGCATGTAGTATTTGTAGAAAGATGCCAAAGCTACTTCAAATGAGGGTGTTAGATCCTCATTTGTAGTAAACAAATGTTCTGTTATTGCAATAAGAAAATTTGGAAAATCTTAAGCTGTTTGAAAAAGGAAATTTAAACATGCTACCTCCAATGAATGCTAGAAACATTCATTGGATGTAGAATTTGATTTACAAACAAATGTGCAAAACTCGAATTTTGATATTGCAACGTGTTCTATGAACAATCCTTCCTCTGAATTAAAAGAACCCATATTTGCAACTGACTTAAATAAAAATGGTATTTTAAACGAAACTGTATCATGTGATGAATTATGGCAACGAAGAGGTAATGCATCATTATTAGAGTTGTAACAGTATTACCAACCAACTCATAAAAGTATTTAGATTATCGTGTGAAGAATATATTTTAACTCATTATTGCGACATAAACCATAAACTTGTTCAATTGGTGCTATGGAAATTAATTTTAATGACAGATGAATTGGAATTCTAAAGATTTTAGAAGAACTTGCTGTTATTCCTAAATTTACTGCAAGTGAATACTTTTTTAGCATTTTTACTTTTTTTCAAGCAATCTCAATAGAAAGAAAATCACTTGATAGTGTTTTACGCTAACGAACTAGAATACATAAAGTATGGTTAAAGGCGAGTTTCCACTCATCCGTTTTTCGACGGGAACGGGATAGGAAAGGAAAAAATAATCACGTGAGCATGCGTGATAAAGGTTTTTATTTGTCCGAAAGAAAACTGCGCATGCTCACGTGATTATTTTTCCCTTTCCCGTTGAAAAACGGATGAGTGGAAACTCACCTTTAGATTTATAAGTTTAGTTTTTCAGAATATATAGATTAAATTTGATTTTTCTCAATATCAAAATATAAAAATATCACACACACACACACACACACACACACACACACACACACACACACACACACACACACACACGTGTATGCGTTCATATGCGTATTCTCGATACCTCTAATACTTGATAACTCGAATATTTTTCCCTTTGACATTACGTAATCGTTTTGTGCTAAAATCCTCTCGATATCTCCAACCTCTCAAAACACGGTATCTCAAAATTTTTAATATCTTGAACTATATTTTTGATCTAATTTTTTTTTTATTATTAATTTTTTTTAATTTTTTATTTAGGTCCCCCAAGAAGTCCTAACGGTCTTGTCACAGAGAGCACCGCGGAAGTGCATTTAACCAGGAAGTTTACTCCTCCTTCCTTACAGTGACGCGAAATATGTCCATAGCTCGTTTCGAACCTGGACCTCCTGCTGATTAAACAAGCGCTCTAACCACTGCGCCACGGCCGCACAGTTTTATCTCGTTATCTCGAACTTTTCAAAATTCGAGAATTTTAAATTTTTTGAAATTCATAATTTCAAATTTTTAATAAAACTTTATTATAAATATTTATTACAAATATCAAATGAAAAATATGCCGCTAGTTAAAGGAAAACTTATAAACAAATCTAATTTAAAATCAAATTAAGACATTAAAATGACCTGGAGTAAGGGATGTCTAACAAGAGGTTTGCCCAAGTATGGTGTCCCGAAGAATCCAGTATCAACCTAGGTAAAGAATAAAAATAAACTATTGACCTCGTTGGAAATAAATGGCATAAAAAAACGGAAAAAACTTTGCACTGGTAATTCTGAAAACGTGGTTATGTCCGCGTTTTCAAAATTACCAGTGCAAAGTTTCTATCGTTTTTTTGTTTGGCCTTGTCGATAAGCCATAATCACGCGGTTCATCGCAAAAAAACGAGTACAAATTGAGGATATTTTACTGTAAGAAATTGGCAGAAGCGTTGGGAAAATGGAACATCTGATTGTTAACTTTATAATCGGAGAGAAAGGTCAGTTCTATTGTGTCAAACTTTCTTAATTTAAATATAAATAAATCCCCACGCACCAGCAATGAATTTTTCAAACGTGTGGTTTAAGAAAAAATAATTTTTGCTGTTCCTTTTTATAAAAATGACATCAGTTTAAAAGTTATCTCAGGCAAAAGTACCTCCGTGACGAATAAAATGATCGCTTTATTGGAAAAAAACTACACAATCAAATTACAAACTTAATAATATTTAAAAATATTATTATTTATTTGCTGATGTGTTCTATTTTATCACTGTCTATCAAACAAAACGAAGTTTTTGTCACGAAATGTTTCGGGGGAAAAAAAGTATTTGTCAGTAAAATGTTCCGGGGGAAAAAATAGTAGTGTCAATCTAACAAATATGGTAGCATGAAGTACAATGGAAGAAGAATAACCCATGTTTGTTTTTGGCAAATATTAAACCCCGGCACTTCTGGTGAATAATTGTCCTGCCAATCCACACATTAAAAGGATTAGTAACATCAAGCGCATTTTTCTTTCCTAACACCACATCTGTACTTCAACCCATGGATCAAACGCAAATACGAAGACTTAAAGCATATTTTAAAAGTTAAAATATGTCGGTAAGTCTTTATCCGCCTCATTCCAGTGGCGGATAAAGACTTCTTGGGGGTTATTTTTGTTTTTGAAGGCCTTTTTTTTTAAATTTTTGGGGGTCCCTAAATTTGCGGGGCCCAGGACTATAGCTCCCCCCCTTGATCCAGCACTGGTTCATTCAAGTTCAAACAACATTGTATACCATTCTTTTTGTAACATTATTAAGAAATAGATTTAAAAGAACTTAAACTGGAATATAAACAAAACTTAATGTTAGTCTTAGTGATAGTATCAAAATACAAATATTCAGTCGTTATCTGCAAAACAGGTTAACGCCAGAAAGTTGTTTTGCAGAAAACGACTGAGTATTTGCATTTTGACACTACCACTAAGATGATTACCATTCAAGGTTTACGAGCTTCTCATTCCTTTGCTAAAAATTAAACTGGGGTTTTATATTCCTTAAATTTGGGTTTTTTTTTCATCTAGTTAAGTTGCCTTTACCACAGTTAAGGAGTCCTGCTATAATAAAGCATCAGTTTAACATGATGGCAACGAACTTGATTCTGGGTATAAGGATCAAGATAAAATAAGTTTTAAGAAATTTTGAAGACTAAACACAAAAAACTTTAAGACGCCTACAATTTCTGCAAGCGTCAACATTATTTCAACATATTTCAGACATCTACAATATCCAATATTCTTATATATAAATATAAATAAACGTTATCGTTTTTGAAATTTTTAAACTTTATCCAAAACAATTACCACAAACTCGAATACTTGCAAAATTGTAGGTTAATGCGAATTCCATGCAAAGCAAATACATGATAAGCCTTAAAATTACTTAGATTTAAAAATTTGATTCAAGTGATGCGTTTAACGTTAACGGAAAGCATGTCAAATTTTGTAAATTTACCATAACCAATGTAAAAGTTTTCTCCAAAGGTGGAACGCAAACCAGTAAAACCTTCTGCTTGTCATTACCTGAACAACATGTTAAAACACTCGTTGTTAACATAATTTTTTTAAAAAGGTTTATAAATCTATAAAAATCTATAAACAAGTATAATAAAAATACGTTCAAAATAGTTTTCAAAAATAGCGCAATCTTTTTTTACCTTCAATAAGCCTCGTTTCGAACTTTGGTTGATTACCAACAAAGTAAATGTGTGGGCAATGGTCAATAATAAAAGGGTCTTCCGTATAGAAAGGATAGCAGCCTAGAAATGTTAAAAAACTTATACTTAAACTATATGTATATATATACACACACAAACATGTATGTATGTATGTATGTATGTATGTATGTATGTATGTATGTGTGTGTATATATAGGTATGTATGTATGTATGTATGTATGTATGTATGTATGTATGTATGTATGTATGTATGTATGTATGTATGTATGTATGTATGTATGTATGTATGTATGTATGTATGTAAGTATGTATGTATGTATGTATGTATGTATGTATGTATGTATGTATGTATGTATGTATGTATGTATGTATGTATGTATGTATGTATGTATGTATGTATGTATGTATATGTGTATGTGTGTATGTATGTATGCATCTGTGCTAAAGCCAACACACACACTTGAAACATACTTAATGTGTCTGGACTAGTAGGAGATATATGACCACGGAGTAGAGTAGATTCAAGAATATCGAGACGATTATCGAAGCAAGAGTATTGATAAATATTATCTATGTTTTGACCTGAAGTACCAAGCACTCTAACAAATTTAAACAAACAAAATCGTAATAAAATTGAAAAATATTTTAGTTTAAGTAAACTTTAAATACTAAAATAATTTGTAAATTTTTTGTTCAACAAAGTAGCTAAATATACCTTAACCCTCCAATCATTAATTGGTACGGATTAGTTACACTTTGAACTGTAGAGTGGCCATATGATTTCGGAAACATACACTTATGCAAAGGCTGCTGCGGTAGAAATTGATTTGTGGGATCAAACTCACCTGGCATAACATCAACTGGAATCGTTGACTGGAAGAAAAAAAAAAACCCAGATAAACACATATAACAAATGATATATATATATATATATATATATATATATATATATATATATATATATATATATATATATATATATATATATCATAAATTATATTTATATATATATCATAAATTATATATATATATATATATATATATATATATATATATATATATATATATATATATATATATATATATATATATATATATATATATATCATAAATTATATATATATATATATATATATATATATATATATATATATATATATATATATATATATATATATATATATATATATATATATATATTACATATATTATATTGTTTTTAGACAATACAACAGTTTATATCCTTAGCATTTTGAGACATGTTTGTAAATTTCTTAGCATTCCTCAGTTTGAAGTTTTGCAAACCTTTATTTTATAACATTTTGTACTTTTGGTGAATGTTTTACAAAATTTTGTTTTAAAAGTTTTACAAAACTCAGTATAGTCGCTGAATGGAACAATACACAAATGAGTCTTTCTATTAGTTAAGTTTTTATTGTAACTGGTATCTCATAAATCTCATCCTTCAGCACAATCGAGAGAGATTCAATAGAATTCATTCTAGAAGTGTTTTTTCAGGCCATAAAAAAACATGTAATGGCATGGGGCTAAATCATGTTGGAATATGCAGGAACTATCATCAAACCAGTCTTTGATTTGTGGAATAAGGTGTGTTCTATTTATTGTAATTTGTTGTTGACTGTTAATAGGTTTTTGTAATATGTAGAGCCTGCATATACTTTGCACAGAAATGGCTCCTAAAACCATTATCATTGTAAGAAATTTTCATTAAGACCTACAATCACTGTTAATAATACGTCTATTCAACCTCAGTGTTGTTACTTGCTTTCTATCGTATTTTCTAAATTGATTTAGCACTAGTGGAATGTCTATTTTAAACTTATTGTTCACTCTGGTGACTTTTAGCTTTATATCTATTTCGTTTTTGTTTAGTTCAGAATTTCTCAATAAACAGTAATTTTCCTTGTGCTCAGGTTACTTTTCTATCATCTCTGCTTTTGCATTTAACAAAATTGTATGCAAATTGACACAAAAAAAACATATACACAAAGGGAACAACGTTGGACATCATGGCAAAAAATTCATAATGTTAACATGACTAACAAAGACCACCAAAACCTGTAATGTGTATGTGTGTGTGTGTGTGTGTATATATATATATATATATATATATATATATATATATATATATATATATATATATATATATATATATATATAATCAAATATGTTTATAATCAATATATAAATTAAGTAGTTGTCTACCAAATTAACAGCATATAAAATGTTTTATTTTTTATTTTACTTTTTAAATCAAGTCATTACAAACTCATCCATAAAATGATTGATCCACATACTAAGGCCACAAGCTAAGTTATTTTCAGGAACAACTTTCTCAACAAATGGTATGTAGTCAAGTTTAAAAAATCCTAGGACAGAGTGAGAAAAAAAAAAAAAAAAAGGATTAGCTACATCTGATTAAGAGGAGTGTTCTTTTTGTGATGCTGTTGAAACACTTGAAACACTTTTCTATTAAACACTGTTTACAGTGTTTAATAGAAAAGTAGCGACACTCATGTTTATGAAGGTAAAGCTAAATACAATGTCGAAGTTGTCATAAAATTTATTTATGAAAAAGAATGTTTTGTCAGCCAGACTGATTCTCTGGTAAGGTATTCTATTTAAGAAAATAAAGACACCAAAAAGACTTCATAAAAAAAGAAGTTTATTGTGTTTCTTAAAATAGAAAAACGTTTTTAGAATTTAAAATGTTTTTTTAATACTTTTTGTTGATAATAAAATATGATTTTACAGAGTTCCCACTAGATAAAAATATTGAAATTCTAGGACTATATAGGACTTTCCAGGACATTTTTTTCCTTTTTCCAGGACATTTGCTTCATTATTTGCAGGACTTTTCCAGGACTTACAAAAACTACAAGATTTTTCAGGACTTTTTTATAGATAGTACAAAATAACACAAAACACGCTATTAAATGTAAATTAATATAGAAATCAAATGTAAATCAAAGAAATACATTAAGCTACATCACTTTACCTTCATCAATACAGCTACATAACTAAATGTAAACTCAAAAATTTTTTGAAAAGGAACTATTTTTTATTTAAAAGGAAACTTTTAAAGCAACCAACTTTAAAAATATCCGAATCATTTCAAAAACTCATAAGATAAACACCATTTTAGCAAACAACAAAACAAAAAATAAAACTTTACTCAATAACTATGTGTACAAAAAAATGCTTTTAAAATAAAGCAGTGAATTTATCATTCTGGTGAATCATCTTTTTTCTATATTGTACAAATTCTCGATTTCCTTTTATTTTTATTAACAGAATTTCTTTTTTTCATTTGATTCTTTCAAAAAAACTAAATTACTTTGCTTTTCTGCATTTATGGCTAGTATATCAGACTGTTCTATCAAAGTAGTTATTTCACTTTGCAAGATTCTGCACTTTGTTCTAACTTTTTCTCATCATCCAAAATTTTTCGTTTTAAATTCCTACTGTACATTCTTCTTGTACTCTTTGTGATTGCAAATACTCTTTATATTAACTACTTGCTTGTTTTACATTTTGCAGCATTTCTTTATTAACTTTAATACTATCATATACTTCAAAAAAAGATGAATGATCTTCAATAAAACTTAAGGCAATTAGGTATTTTTTATTAAGATCTTTGACAAGAAGTTATTCATCAACACTGAAGCCATGCTCAATGGAAGATTGTCCATGTGAAAGCACAAAAATTATTTTAAAAATGCTCCAAACATCTTAATAAGCTTTATTTGCTCCAACAAAGTTAGAGAATGATCAAGACTACCATTTTTAATATCGAAATCTTGAAATGGTTTTTTGATTTTTTGAGTCTACTATTTCTAAAAACTTATATTGATTTTTTGCTAGTTCAACAGACTTTGGTGACAAAAGGCCATAATTAACTAACTTTTGAAACAGAACTAAAAAATTTTTGATACAAATATTATTTTTATCGGATTTGAAATAAAAATATGGTTAACAGATACTGCAGTGCACATTATGACAAACTTCAAAGAGGACTTCTCAAGGAGATGTGTCAACAGACCAGCTAATAACTGGCCTGCCTCTTTTTTAAATATAACTACTCTTTGGTCACTGTAACTTAAATTAGATTCAGCAGAATAGTCGCTGTGCACCGGCAAAACAAATCTAAGTTGCTGGTGTACAATGAAAACCCACCCTCCAAAAATCAATTACCTGACCAAAAAACTCTCAATCCTGGGTACTATAAAAAACCCGCCGCAGAGCCTCTTGGTTCACAAAATTAAAAGTTCTTCCATCCAGGGATTTTATATACGCCATACACACACCTTATATATATTCATACACAATACTCATTTGAAAAGAACATGCCCCTGTACCAAATTGATCACCACAAAATAAAAGAACCAAAAATGACTTAGTTACCACCAAAAAACAATATTTCCCCACCCCTTCCCCGCAGCAACATGCAAAGAGCAAACCGACCCCTCGAACTGACTCCCAGAACTGCAACCCCGCATGATGTGTTCACCTCAGTAACCAGGTAAAAACTGAGCTATGTGCGATCTCCGGTGATCCACCTACATCCTCATGGAAGGCTCCAGACGGAGCCAAAGAGCACTACAGAACACTCTGGAAAGCCCCCGAATGCTCTGGAAGGTGATAGAACAGCCACACTGTGCACTATAGAACATTCTGGAAAACTCCGGACCATTCTGGAAAATTCTGCCCACTCTGAAAAAACATGTAACATTTCAGAAAACTCTGGAAAACGACAAAACAGGCAACAGCAATCCATGGAACACAACAGAAACCAACGAAAATCACATCATAGGAAACTCTCAAACCATCCCCAAGACCATTTCGATCTCCGGCAACCCCTGAGGTCACACCCAAGGTCATCAACACCCCACCCCCGGGGGCCAGGAACAACTCTGCACTTCACAAGGAACACTCTATCTGGCCCCCCAACTCAGAAATGACCATTTGAAAGCCCTGCGACTTCGGGCAGCCTCCAGTGACCTCCGAGGTCAACTTGACATAGCCTATGTCACTCTCTGGGTCATGAGATCATCCATGCCAAATTTCAAGTTTCTAGGACCAACGGTCTGGCTGTTAACTGGGAACAAACAATCAAGCAATCAATCAGAATTGACCAAATTTATATAAGATAATATCAAGAGAAGTTCATAAAACTATCTGCCAAATAGAATTTTATATTACATGTACCATATACAACTTACTTAAGTTATGTGAGTTTGATGAAGAGCCATTTCCCCTGATTTTTCTAAAATTTAATTTAATTTCCCTGATTATTCCCTGATTTTTTTTTTTTGCAGATATCTGAATTCAACGACTTTCCTTGCTTTCCCTGATCTGACAGACTCCCTGTAATTATAAATAATCTATTTTTATGTGTTTTTTCTGTTACAATCTGGTATTCAGCCAAATAGTTTGCAATATTTGGCCAATTACAAAATAGTAAGAAAAATAGCTAAATAGGTCAAATAGTGAAAGAGATAACCTGAATAGTGAAAGAGATGTCACCGAATAGAGAAAGAGATGTCACCGAATAGCAAAAGAGATGTCACCGAATAGTAAAAGAGATGTCATTGAATACCAAAAGAGATGTCACCAAATAGCAAAAGAGATGTCACCGAATGGTAAAAGAATAGTCACCGACTAGCAAATAGCCACCAAATATGCGTGACATCTCTAATAAATTTACAAACTGAAAACCATTTCAATATTAAATCATTAAAGAAGTTAAGTAAGACTAGTTACCAGGCTACTAACTTAATAAAAAGTAATGATTGAAAAGTAATGTTAATAAGAAAAATATAATTTTAATAATAAAAAATTCAAATAATTAAAAAGTAATGTTAAAAAAATCATACGAAAATTATCATAAATAATAAGTTCGAATGATGAATTTTAAAATAACTTTTTTCTGTAATAATTCAAGTTTAAAATTATTTAATTTTAAAATTATTAAACCTGGATCTTTATTTATGCAGATTATTAAAGACTAAATTCAAAAAACTCTTAAAACTTATTTAAAACAATACAAAACTTACTCACACCTAATTGCATTAATATGTCATCAAGCTGTTTCACAGCCTCCACACTTTTTGCTTGAATACGCTTCTGTAAATACTTTGCCTAATTTGAAAAAGCTTTCATTAGTATTAATAATTATTGTAATTTATTAATTGGTATTTTAATTTAAAAAATACACCAGTGAGATTTGAAAATAAAAAATTCGAAATAAAAAACATTAAAATATTAAAAGAAAACAAAAAGAACAGTTCACAAGTTTTATTTTTTTTTGTTGTTTGCATTGTTTATAATGTCGTGTATTTTTGTGCATTTTTTATGTCATGTATTTTTTATGTTTTTTATAGTGTATTTCTATGTGTTGTTTATATTGTCATGTATTTTTTAAACATACTTTTTTTTTTTTTGGGATCATTGTTTTTTTAAATATTATTATTCTTCTTTTTATGATTTTTTTTTTCTCATTATATTATTACTTATTGTTGTTGTTTAATTTATAAAAAAAAAAAACAAAAAAAAAACATTAGTTAGCATGCCATGGTGTTAGGTTGTCAATTAGGGTGTTAGGGTGTCAGGTGTAATTGAGTAATATTAAGTAGTTTAATGATCAATTATTTTACAATTAATATTTAAAACATTATTTTAAAACTAATCAATTATTTTACAATTAATATTTAAAACATTATTATTTTAAAACTAATCAATTATTTTACAATTAATATTTAAAACATTATTATTTCAAAACTAATCAATTATTTTACAATTAATATTTAAAACATTATTATTTTAAAAAATAATATATTAAAAAAAAAAATTATAAAATTTTTTTATCATTTTTATAAAACTAATTATTTATTATTGCTAAAATTCTTTAAAAAAACTTGTTACTTATTATTTATTTGTTATTATCTTATCATCTTTATTTAGAATTGAAATCCAAAGATTGGGATCAACAAATCAACCAAATATTTGGATCACCAAATCAATAAAAGATGGGAATCACCAAATTAATAAAAGATTGGGATCACCAAATCAATAAAAGATGGAATCAACAAATCAATAAAAGATTGGGATCACCAAATCAATAAAAGATGGAATCACCAAATCAATAAAAGATTGGGATCACCAAATCAATAAAAGATTGGGATCACCAAATTAATTAAGGATGGGATCACCAAACCAATCAAAGATTGGGATCACCAAATCAATCAAAGATTGGGATCACAATAATAAATTGTAGATTGCATGAATTCAGATTTTTTTTTTAACTACCTTGTTTGTTGAGGAAGCTGAAAAAAAGAATTTTAAAAGGCTCGTGTTTTAAAATTGAAGGATTGTGAGAAAGTTGTATTGTATATTGTGATATTGTAAGAGATGATTGTATATTATTGATATTGTAACAATAGTTATAAAAAAAAAGAAGAGAGAATGTTTAGAGCTATAAGTAGAAATAGCGTAAAAAAATAGTATGTACAATATTTAAAAAAAAACAGATAAGCAATGCTATTTCATAAAATAAATAACGTATAAAAATAATTATCTGGTATTCTCAAAGTACTGTTGCGGGAAGTAGCTCCTTTTAACTACTCCAGGTCAGGTCAGGATAATCGAGATCAATCTTGCTACTGGTATCACATAACCCAGTACCACCTGCCACAAGCCCTGCTGCCTTGCAGAGTGTGCTCTTCTTATGCAAAGGCTAGGAGAAATAAACTCCGACTAAAAATTCCCCTGCCTTGGGGCTCTTGGTTGAGTAAAGGCTAGAGATGGTGTCTCGATAAAAACACTTATCTTGGGCAGATGTTAACTGCATCCAGCTAAACATCCCCTGCCTTGGGGCTCTTGGTTGAGTAAAGGCTAGAGATGGTGTATCAATAAAAATACTCATCTTGGGCAGATGTTAACTGCATCCTGCTACAGTCTTGTAGAAGGCCTCCTAGGCAAAGACTTTAGAGGTAAGCAGAAAAATTCTGCTTACCAGCCTCGAACCCCTACTTCATCTATTAGGCTGGCGTAGATGTAACCTGTGTTACATTGTTTCCTGCCTAGGATGATGAATGCTGGATCTCCTTGACTCTACTCAAAGAATTTTGCTTATGCCTCCTTGATAATGGCTATGCAACTCTTCCTGTTATCTCCATATGAGGGTACAGCTCTAAAACTCAGTTTAATGGTTCTGAGGCCGGCTGGTAGTAAGGTTTCCCGAACTCTGTGGTAGCTCTCAGAGAGGCTGATTCCATCAACAGCTGCAAAATATCAGAGTATTAACAGTGCCATGTTGCGCATGGATGGTGTCCCTGTTAATGCTTTTGGTGTGCATTGTCAAGGCCACATAATGAGCCCTATGTCACGGCTTAGGGTTAATTAACAGGACTGAGACAACTGCATAGCTCATTGATTAGGAGGCTGTGCTCTATCTATGAATGAGTCAAGTTCTCATTAAAACCAAATCATGACCAAAGTAACCAAAAATTTAAAACCTAAAAAACCATCCCCACCACCTAAATATTTTAATATATCTTTTACAAATATTCGCGGTCTACGAAGCAACTTTCCATCAGTTGAGTCTTACCTCCTGCAAAATTTACCAGACTTGCTTGCACTCAGTGAAACAAATTTAAGTTCTGCAATTCCTTCTTCAGATGTCAGTGTTGATGGGTACTATCCTTTGATTCGTAAAGACTCCGATAGTCACATGCTAGGTTTAGGGGTATACATACGCATTAATTCCCCTATTTGTCGTGAAATCAGGTTCGAATCCTTTGACCATTCTTTTATGTGCTTTCGCCTAGCACCTCTTCACTCTATCACCTTTCTCTTTGTTCTTTATCGTTCTCCTTCTTCCCATGATTGCACTCTTTTAGATGTTATCTCTGATCAAATTGACCATGCCCTCTCTCTTTACCCCTTCGCTAATATTGTTGTTGTTGGTGATTTTAATGCACATCACACTGAATGGCTTGGCTCTAACACCACTGATCCTGCTGGCACTAAAGCCTTTAACTTCTGCGCTTCTCAATCTCTTACTCAGATAGTTAACTTTGTGACTTGTTTTCCTGACAACCCTAATCATTTACCTTCACTCCTTGACTTATGTCTTGTCTCTGACCCTAGCTTATGTTCAGTTTCTCCCTTTTCTCCCTTAGGTGGTTCTGACCATGCAATGATCTCTATAAATCTTTCTTCTCGTACTTCTTTTTTGGGCTCACCTTATCATCGCACCACCTACTACTACCCTAAAGCTGACTGGGATTCCTTTCGTGATTTTCTTTGTGATGGTCCTTGGGCTGATGTTTTTTCTCTCTCAGCTGACAAATGCGCCTCCTACGTAACCTCCTGGATTCAGGCTGGAATGGAAACTTTTATTCCTTCTCGTCGGTTTCAAGTCAAGCCTCATTCTACTCCATGGTTTTCTCGTTCTTGTGCGGCTGCTATATCCAATCGTAATCATTTTTTTCATCTTTTTCAAAAGAACAACTCTCTTGAGAACAAAAGGCTATTTATTATTGCAAAAAAAAGATGTAAAAAGGTGCTTTCTGATGCTAAACTCCATTATTCTCAGTTCACTAAATCTCGCATCTTATCGCAGAAGTTAGGCTCTAAACTTTTGGAAAATCTTCAACAGCATTGTTAACAAGGGTAGATCTAACATTCCATCTCTCATTCATGGGACTGATCTTGTTCCCTCTCCCAGGGATAAGGCAGAACTGTTTGCAAAGAATTTTTCTTCTAATTCCACTCTTGAATTTTTTTGGACATTCTCTTCCTTCCATTCCAGTCAAACAGGTTGACCCATTGTTAGACATTCAAATCACTCCGGCTTCTGTTGCTAAAGTCATATCTCAATTAAACTCGACTACAGCTTGTGGTCCAGACAACATTCCTGTCACAGTCTTGCAGAATTGTTCTCCAGAACTTTCTTCAATTCTCTCTAAACTATTTAACAAGTGTTTGACTGAGTCTTGTTTTCCTGCTTGTTGGAAAATGGCATCTGTGGTTCCAATATTCAAAAACTCTGGAGAAAATTCTGACCCCTCCAATTATCGTCCGATCAGTCTTCTTTCTGTTATTAGCAAGGTCTTTGAGTCTTTGATCAACAAATTCCTCACATCTCATCTTGAGTCAAATAAACTGCTGTCAGACAATCGATACGGTTTTCGATCCTCTCGCTCTACGGTTGACTTGCTAACTGCTGTAACTGAAAGATTTTATCGTGCATTAGATGGAGGCGGTGAGGCTAGGGCTATTGCTCTCGACATATCTAAAGCTTTCGACAAAGTTTGGCATGCTGGTCTTCTCCATAAGCTTGCTTCATATGGTGTTTCTGGGAAAGTTTTTGAGATTATCAAATCATTTCTTTCTGACCGGTTTATTAAAGTCATCTTTGAAGGCCAACACTCTTCTTTATTTCCAGTAGCTTCTGGGGTTCCCCAAGGTTCCATCCTGGGCCCTGTTTTGTTTCTTATCTTCATAAACGATCTTCCTAACAACCTTTCATCTAAAGTAGCTCTTTTTGCTGATGACTCAACTTTATACTCCTGTCTTGACAAAAAGTCTTCTCTTTTCGATCGTCCAGAACAAGCAGCTGATCTTGAATCTGATCTCACTTCAGTAATAGATTGGGGTTCACAGTGGCTCGTGAATTTCAACTCTAAAAAAACCCAATTGCTTACTGCAAACAACTACCGTAATATGGTCAACATTCCTATATTAATGAATGGCAATCCTCTTATTGAGTCGTCCTCTTTACGTCTTCTTGGATTATCGCTTACTACTGACCTTTCATGGAAACCATATATACAATCGATTGCTAAATTAGCTTCTGCTAAGGTTGCTTCTCTTTATCGTGCTCGCCATTTCCTTACTTCTGATTCCATTCTCTATCTCTACAAATCTCTTATTCGTCCCTGTATGGAATACTGTTGTCATATTTGGGCTGGTTCTTCTAACGATTCGCTCTCTCTTCTTGACAAGGTCCAAAAACGCATTGTAAATGTTGTTGGACCTGGACTATCTGCTAAGCTTGAACCTCTTTCCCATCGTCGTAAAGTTGCATCTCTTTCTCTTTTCTACAGATACTATCATGGTCACTGCTCAAAGGAGTTATTATCTCTAGTTTCATCAACTAAAATTCATTCTCGTTTTACTCGTCATTCAGCTAAGTCTCATTCGTTTACTGTATCTGTCCCTGCATGCTCTAAAAACTTTTATTCATCTAGTTTTTTTCCCCGCACTTCAATCCTTTGGAACTCTCTCCCATCTTCATGTTTTCCTGACTCATACAACCTTCAACTTTTCATGTCTTCTGTCAACTGTTTCCTTGCTCTATAACTCTGTTCTTTTTTTTTCCTAGTAACTCCCAACTTAATAGTGGTTGCTTGCAGCCTTGTTGGGAGTGAATGCAAATAAAAAAAAAAAAAAAAAAAGAATAAAATAACTTTCAAAAATACAATCTTCAATTTTTATGGAGCCTTATTTGGTTCTTCAATGAGAAAATTAAACTAATGATTTTAATAACTTTTTTAATATACATATGACTTTAAAAGCAGAACGAGTTCCAAGCCTGCCAAAATGACTTTTAGGCCTGCAAGATTCCAAAAATGACTTCCAGACCTGCCAGATTCCGAAACCTAATTAATTAGTTAAAACTATTATTTTAAAAACCTACTCCTAATAACTACTACGCCTACTCCGCAGAACCTGTGAACTTAGAAGGAACCTGGAAATGATCTTAATATAAAAAAATAGAATATGAATAATGTAAAACATTTCTAATATACTTATATTTAAAAAATATTTATATATAGAATTATATAAAATGCTATATATTTATACAAAAATGTTAAAAATGCAACCAATAATTAAAAAAAATAATAATAATAAAATCTTACAACTTTCTCTGATTCTTTATCCTGAGTTGTTTTACTTAGGCTGTTACCAGCTATGATTAATCGAACAACTTTTTTAAAAATAGATTGATCCTTTCAAAGAATATAAAGTTCTTTAAAAATTAACACACATGCACATAATATATATATATATATATATATATATATATATATATATATATATATATATATATATATATATATATATATATATATATATATATATATATATATATATATATATATATATATATGTATCTTAAATAGTAGAAACTTTACGAAGGGTATATCACATATCCTATCCTAAAGTAGAAATTTTTACCTTTTTTATATTATTTAATAAAAAAAATATTATTTTATAAATAATAAAAAAAATATTATCTTATAAATAATATTTATTTATAATAAATAATATTTATTACAAATAAATTTCTGATCTTTAAAATCACTTGGAAAGTAAGCAAAACTCTCTACATACACAAGCTGAAGCAAAATGAAAAAAAGAAAAAACATAAAATATCAAAATCAAATGTTTCAAAAATTAAAGCAAAGCATTATTTAAAACTTTCTTAATCACCGTATTAAGAAAGTTTTAAATAATACTTTCTTAATCAGCTGTATCAGAATTTATTGTTACATACAGATATTGAGTAGCAGCTATGTAAAACTGAGTTAAACTCTTAATAATAAAAACCAGAAAACTTCATTGTCTATGATTTTACATAAGATAAATGAGAACTATCTTGGAAAGTAAATTTTAAACAATATTAGTTGCGGAAATGTCAAAATGTAAATTTTCAACCATTTTTTAATCATTGGAAAGCTGCAATTTTTTAGAATTTAGAAAAGATCAAAGTTTTAAAGTTATTTAGTCCGAACTTAGTTAATCAAAAATTTGAAACTTTAATATTTTCTGTAAACTAAGAAATTAAAGCATTAAAAAAAAATTCATTAAAAATATTTGAACCTTCCAGGGTGGCTAGCTAATATCTAATTTAAAATTCCATAATATTTATGGGACTTTTCAAGGAAAAATTATGGGTTTTTAAAGGATATATTATTCTTTTATCGACAAGAAAAAAACAAAATATGCAATTTATAAAAAAATATAAAATGTAAAATAACTAAATAATTAGTAGAATTTAATAATAATGACAGAAAGATTAAATAAAATGTTGTTTTTGCATTTCAGTAAATATCAAATTCAGTATAATAACTTTGTAAAAGTAAAAAAAAAAAAATGAACTATTTCAGAAAAAATATTGAACAATTTCAGAAAAATGTTTCAGGGTATTCCAGGAATTAATACTAAAAGGAGTGCTTTTCCTGGACTTTTCCAGCCCTTATCAAATTCCATAACTTTTTCAGGATTTCAAGGACCGCTGGCCACTTTTGACTTTGATTTCAAAACAAGTCATTACTTTTTTTTTTTTTTTTAAATCACAACTAAGTTTTACAGTAAGTATCTAATGCTCGAATTAACAGGTCGAAATAACATTATTTTAAAATAGCTCGCATGCACAGATTAAAAATGGTGTTATAATTAAAAAAGGAATGTCAACATCAAAGTTATTTTATATGTTTAATACTTTTTAACACTTAGCTTTTAATTAACTTGTTTAAATTTTTATAAAATATAATTTAATTTTTGTAAAGTTATCGACTAAACATAAAAAAATTTATAACCCACTTATGTTTTACAATCCACAAAGACAATTTAAAAATTATTAACGTTTATCATTTTCTTGATTACTCAATTTAATTAGATTGCTTAACAGGTTAATAACATTCACTGCAAAGACTTCTCAAAAGCAGGGCTGGGTTAAGTACTTCTTGGTCTCCTGGCACTTTAAATCTTCTGGCCTCAGATGACCTCCAAGAATACAAATTTAACAGCGGTTTAAACATAAAAATATCTTTATAATTGTTGGGCTATGGGTTTATAATGTATTTTCTCTTTTTCAATTATATTTTTATAATGTTGTTGTAATTCTCTTTCATCTTTTGTTTAAACTATTTTTAATTTTTATTCCATTGTCTTTTTTAATTTTGTTACGTTTATCTTAATGTTATCCTCTCTTTTAACAATTTATTTTTTATAACTATTTGTATTTGCTTGATTTATTTGTTAAATTTGTTTCTTTTTCCAAAATTATATTCGAACTCAAAAGTTTTTTCAAGTCTTAAAAAAAAATGTCCAGTTTGTGATGTTTTTTAAGTAAATCTTTGGGACATGAGAGAAAATCAAGGATAGAGTCAGATATTTTTTCTTTCAATTTATGTCTTTCGAAAATTCACTCAGATGCTCTGACCCCTTGAACTCCATGGTCTGCTGGCACATTCCAGTGTGTCCATAGGCTAAACCAGCACTGCTCAAAAGGTAGCAAAATTTGAAGAGGTTTTTAAAAAAGATTTAATATAAAAAAGTCTAATAAAAAAATTGAAAGAGGAAAAAAAAAATAAAGATTCAAATAATATTTTTAACTAGCAGCAGAAAATAATAATAAATAAAAACTTTCATCAAGTATATAAATAGTAACT